ATGGGTGGGTGGATGGATGGATGGATGGGTGGATGGGTGGATGGATGGATGGATGGGTGGATGGGTGGATGGGTGGATGGATGGATGGGTGGGTGGATGGATGGGTGGGTGGATGGATGGATGGATGGGTGGATGGATGGGTGGATGGATGGATGGATGGATGGATGGATGGGTGGGTGGATGGATGGGTTGGTGGATGGATGGATGGGTGGATGAGTCCATGGATGGATGGATGGATGGATGGGTGGATGGATGGATGGGTGGATGCATGCACGGATGGATGGAAACACAGACACCCCCCACCCCCCGTCAGCCCCCCCAATTCTGCCCACCTTGATGTTGCAGGCCACGGCCTTGCCGTCGTCGCCCTTGAACATGAGCTTCATACCGCGCAGGGCGGCCATGGCGCGCAGGAAGCCGGCGTACTCGCGGTACTGGACGTAGGCCTCGAAGTTGAGGTGTCCGCCGAAGGAGAAGGTGTGGAAGGCGCGGCCGGTCATCTCCTCGCGGTAGGGGTCGAGCATGGGGATGTCCACGTGGCGGATGGCCCCGAACCTCTCGAAGACGGCCACCAGGACGTCCTCGCTGGGCCGCTCGGAGCCGGCGGGCGCGAACCACTTACAGGGGAGGCCCTCGAGGTGGACGGTGTCGGGGCGCTCGCCGGGGAGCGTCTCGTTCATGTCGCGGGCGTCGCGGAAGAAGGAATCCCAGTCGTGGCGGCTGGGGAAGTCGGCCTTGAACTCGGCGGCGCGGACGCGGAGGGCGTCGGCGAAGCCGCTGAGCTTGATGGTCTTGCCGTCCAGCCGGGCCAGGAAGGTGCGGACCAGGGCGCGATTCTCCACCTCGCCCTCGAAGCGGATGAAGTCCATGGTGCTCTTGGCGATGCGCAGGGTGGAGAACTGGTGGGCGGCCACCATGGCCTTCAGGCGCTCCATCACCTCCCAGTTGGAGATGGACTTGCCCGGCTGGCGCAGCGCCGGCAGGGCCACGCTGATGGTCATCTTGGTGATGGGCTTCAGGAACAAGCCGTGGGCCGCGCACAGCTCCACGGCCTCCGAGGTGTCGTGCACGATGGTGGCGGCCGCCATGCTGGATGTCGGTCCAACTGGTCCACGGACGGTGGACGAGACGGACAAAGAGCGTCAGTTGGGGGGCGCCATCTTGGATTGGGCTCGTCCAACGGACATCTAGGGGGGGGAACGAGAGACAGAGAGAGCGTCAGGTGTGGGGGTTCACCATCCTGGACACCAACCATCACCCTGACACCCCGATACGCACACACAGATCCACCCACAGGTCCCCAGATCAAGGGATGGATGGATGGGTGGATGGGTGGATGGATGGGTGGATGGATGGATGGGTGGATGGATGGGTGGATGGATGGATGGATGGGTGG